TATATATATATATATAAAACATGAAGAGGGATCCACATATATATATATATTCTGCTGTTAATGTTTCACTGCTTTTAACTGACTTTCGGCAATCTGGATTTCGACCATCTGGCCTAGAACCTGTAAGAGTGAGGGTGGAGTACAAAGTGCATTACTGCCAAACTTTGAATGATCAATATTTAATGAAGTTGGATTTGATATTTGCTTCATAACAGGGATATAAACACACAAAAAGTTACCAAAGCAATAGTTACACAAACAACATTGCACAGTATACAATTACATTATTGGAATTAAATTTCATTTATTCAAGTAAACTGGTCCACATCAGACTTATTATGATAAATGCAATTGTAATTTCTATTTTTTTTTTTTAACTTAACAAAAGAGTTGATTATAAAACCTAATGAAGGCTAAATGTTTACACTTTATGAGTGCACCTGAACAAAAAATGAAAATCATCTTAAACTTGCTTTTGACATTAAACAAATTATATTTTTTTAAATATTTAAATGTAAGTAAATTGTGCATAGATGAAAGTGTTTTGTTGAGTTGACAAAACATTGGTTTATTACAGTATATCTTGCTCATTGTTTTCTATTTCATAATGTTGTTATATCTGTTATTTGTTTATTTCCACATCATTCCACAATTAGACATCTTAATCATAAAGCAATTACTGTATTATTCAAATATATGTCCCAGTGTGTGTATTGTTAAGAAGGGTTTTTGAGGGTGCGTTTATTCGAGGGAGGCATTTATTTATTTATTTTGTGTAAAATGGATACGTATGTATACTAAAATAAACACCCCTTGATTTCACTGTTGGAACTGCAACACATTATTATCGTCACAGAATGTGTTATTGCGTGATCATAAATACTTGTTGATCCCAACTACCTTGGAAAAAATCTAATTCTACTGGAGTAGAACATCAATAGAATGTGTTGTGAATGATGTTGCTTCCATTAGATTAGTTTAAAGTAATTTTTAGAGGTGTTCATTCGTTGAAAGAAATGAATGTCTCAGGGCGTTCGAGGGTGTCATTTATTCAAAGTACGGCATTTATTCGAATAAATACCAGACTTCTCAAGTTCTACGGAACGTCCATAGTTGCTACGGAAATTTTGCCTAATTATGGACATTTACGGAAATAAACAAAGACACTACAGAAAGTTATCTTTAGTCTAGACCCAGAAATATATAGGTTTACACATTGTAGAAAGTCAAGGAAAATTTTTTTTTTCGTCAGGACGTTTGGCTACAAAGTCCCTGACCATAGACCTTCAAACCTGTGAGAGGACTGATAAATTGTTGTAAAACCTAAAAAAAGTGCCCCATAAATCATCATATGGTACAGAAATTTTTCATTTACTACCGAAACTAGAAGACATGGTTACAGAAATGCATTTTACTAACTTATGAAGTCTGAAGTACAGTATTTTATTTCAATGAAAACCAGTCTAAAATTTACTTTGAATGAATTTTTAAGAATATTTGAGGACAGTATTCAGTGATGGCTGAACCACAAACCAGTATCAACTATGACTTTCCATCTATCCATGAAAACCAGGAACTGCTCTATGAATCATATACAAGTTCACAAGACAGTGCTATCAGAGTAGAGGTGAGTCTAAAGAAAAATAATCTTGATGATGGTGATATTATTATGTAATGGTGATGATGATGATCATCATCATGTGATGACGATAGTAGTGGTGGTGGTGATGATCAGGTGATGAAGGTGACAATTATGTTCATGAGGATGACGATGATGATGAGGACTGCGATGATAATGGTAATGTAATATGTTGAGATATTTTTCAGAGATAATATTATATTTCAATATTATTACATTTAATTTCTTCGTACATGATAATTTTAATCAAAAGTGTTTTTAGTATGTTTTGAATTATATTGGCTTTACTGTTTGGTCTTTTTTATGTAAGAATTTTTAATTGAATTGTAAATTTGATGTAGTTCAGCTATTTTGCTACCCTTCAAATACTGAATATATTGAAATCGAAAATATATTTTTGTAATTACTGTATTAGTATTTATTGTATTTTTGTTATAAAGTTGTATTTTTATTTGTAAATTAAGATTCATATTGTACGGTATTTCTGTTTTCAATTCTTATTTTTATTGTATAATTTTTTTTAATTTTTGATAAATAAGTTTTTTCGAAATTTGACAAAAAAATTGTTTTTAGTTGATGAATACAGATAGATAAGATTGATAAAAACTGAAAAGTAATATTTTCCTTCTCCCCCAACCTCGTACCCCTTCCCTATTCAGGAGATTACATCAGGTGACTCCCTTCGTATTTTTTAGATTTCAGATGTTGAAAAGAGTGGGGAGTACTTTCTAACTGGAATACTTCGTCGATGCAATCAGCAAGTTCTTAAACCGTACTGGCGTCTCTTATTATTTGTAGGAGTTCATTTTTACTTCATTGGTTGTTATTTGTTTCAACACTCTTCATACATAGTTATGATTTACAATTAAGTAATCTATCCTGTCTGCTTGTCTGTTAAATCTTGACAACTATCTAGGGTTTTGAAATGGGCTATACTTATGGTTTTGAAGGTGTTGCATTTGTGTTGCAAATTTTAAAGAAGTATTATAAATATTTATTATCAAAATAAGCAATATCTGTTATATATTATCTAGTTATTGTAATATTGTTTGTTCTGGCCTTATGAAGTATCTTTATGTAACTATACATTAGGCCGACCAGCCCTCCTTAAACTAATGTTAGAATACCGCACTTTCGGCGGTAAAGAACAATTAAAACCTCATAAAAAAGGCAACTAATCCGTTTACCTATAATTGAATCCAAGGACACCAGTGCTTATCCTTGGTAATGTGTTAATCCAATTAATATAGTGAGATAACGAAACGTTGGTTTATCGAGGGCGGGTTGAGCTAATGATTGGCATCGACTGTTTGAATTTTTTTGTGTTATAATTTTGATAATACAGAACCTTGTACTGTATGCTGTAGTAGTTCCCAATTAAAAATTAATAAATCGGTTATATTTCACTTAATTTAAAAACAAAAATCATAATTAATAAAAATGTGACATTAAAATCACTGTATATAGTATTGTCTTTTAAGATTGGTTGGCGTCCATTTGCCCGAGATCGAGTGCTTCATCCATCATCTTGCAAATGCTGGAATGTTTTATATCCGTTACTTATCACCTGTCTTCTCGTCTTTTCCTACGCTTACGATATCCTAGTTTGCGTGAGCGCACCAGTTCTTGAGAGTACCGTTTATGTAAGTATCAACAGGCTAAGAAATTTTTTTTAGATCTACACACTACTGCCGAGAGGGGGCTGTGGCAAGTACCCAGGGCCTGGGATGAAAGTAATTTTGAAAAAGAAAAAAATTAATAATATATTTTTCATAATACACCCACTGGGTTCCTCCGCCAACTTCCCAGATTCCAGCTTTTGGGGCCCCTGGCAGTTAGAGTACACTGCACTGGGGCCTTGGGCTGCTCTCAGTGGCTGTTTTGTTCTTCTAAGCTATTGAGCTGGTTGTGCAAGGGCTGTAGGAGTAGTTGTATAGTTCCTGGTGTGTGAATACCATATATGTATGGTCCATGGTATGTGGGTACCATATATGTATGGTCCATGGTATGTGGGTACCATGAGATGGTCAATTGATGTCGTGGGTCAGGTTCAGTGAATATGGTGGGTACCAATAATGGTAACAGATTGTACAAGTGTCAGCTCAACATTGTATCCCTAAAATTTCGGATAGAGCATGTAGTGAGGAACTCACTATTGTATGAGAGTTAGATGCATTACATACACACTCACCCACCTATAATAACTACAGTATTACAGTATAAGTCAATCGTGACATCATCACTGTAACTCCCAATGTTATATCCCAAAACATGCACTAAGATTTCATTAGTGCACAGTTTTCTTGGTCTTTTTTCGGTTTGTATGTAGGCCCTCAGGAATTTTTTTCATGCTTTAACTTAAACTTTGTATAATAATTTCCACTGATGTATGATACAACTATACTATATGCTTACATTTGGGAGTAAGAAAAATGTACTTTATCTCTTCAGGATCCACAATCAGGTTCATTAGCCAATGCAACCACACCTTTCAGGAAAAACCTGTGTCACAATATGTTCTCAATTGTCATTATGCCAAGCTGTCTCCATTTTCTCGCTTTTTTGTACGGATTTTGGTACATACGCACCCAGGAAAATGAACAGATATATGCCTTGATTGAACAAGTGTTTCTACAGGCCAATTCCAAGGCACGAGGCAGTGTTACTCAGGCTACAGTTATTAAATCATTAAGGTAATGAAAAATTTAATTATAAATATGTACTATGTTTTCGATAATGAATTATGAATCATAAAACAATACAATAATCATATACTAATAACCACTATATGTTTATCATCTTCCAAAAAAGTGATAACATAATGGGAATTAAAAATAATAATTAGATAATATTAAGGATTATAATAAAATATTTACAATAAATTAAATAGCACAATCATTATGTACTAATACATAATACATTTTTGTGCAATTCTTTTTTTTTTAACATGCCTTTGTTTAATTCTTAATTTTGATTTGTAATTTTTGATGTTTTCTGATTTTTCAAATGTAATTGTTTTTTTTTTTTTTAAGTTTTTGAAACTGTTGTGCTTTGACACTTTTATTTGTTATAACGTGTTGGTTGTTCTTGTTTTGCCATTATAATTGTGGTACTGTCTTTATGAATGTTATCTTTATTACTAATTTAACTGACTAGTAGTGCAATTTTGAGATAGGCCGAATTTTAATCTCCCTAAATTTCAACAATTTTATATGGTCAACTTCAATTTTACATTGTGAAATATGATAAAATATCTAAATTTTTTGTGTATTCTTTTAAACATTTTCTTTGAAACCGCTTATTCAAAACTTTCCATTTGTTTTCTCAAAACTCCTCAACAGACTGGAAGAACACGAATTAATACATAGTTCTACCACTTGGTTAATTCTGGTTTGTGATAATACATTTTTGTTTTAATTTAGTTCCTTTTATCTATCCTAGATTCATCCTGTTTTGTGGTGCTGTCTGGACTTTCGCAGCTCTCGGAATCAATGTCCTTTATGTTCGTGCATTTGGTTTTGCTAACGTCACAATAGCAACAAATAGAAAGTAAGATAATACTAAGAAGCAAGAATAGCTTAGTGGTTAAAATGTATGCCTTCCGATCCCAGTGTCCTGTTTTCAATTTTTGTGACAGATTTTTTTCTCACAATTAAAACTCCACTCCCACTGGGCTTTGTAGGACAATATATATCCATGAAACTGGTTACCTAGTATAAAGAAGAAAATATTTTTAATTTAATTAAACTAATCAGCATATTGATTTTTTTCTTATCATCCATTCTACGTACTGTGCATTCCCATTTTCACTGGATGTTGTAGTTGACCAAAACAGATAGTAGAGCAGTACTTTCCATTTCCAATACGAAAATTCATCATACACAGCCTGAGTATTGTTCAGGCACAAAACAGAGCAATATGCACTCTATTGAGTGACTGCTCAAGTTACCTTTGCAGTGCCAAGGAGGTTATGTATATATTCATTGCTGTTCGTCTGTCTGTTAGCAGGATTACGCAGAAAATGAGTGGATAACCTTGAAATTTAGTCATTACATATTTAAGGTGAAAATTCCTGTATTATTCTGTATACAGACACAGCTGGGCGGAGGTGTGCACTCTGTATAGTGATTGCTCTAGTTATTGTTTGTTTCCACCCTTGACATTATTTGGTGCTTGTTTTTTTTTTATTGCAGTGAATTATTGACTGCTTCTTTACTGGTGATTGACCTTGTGGGTAGTACGATCCAACATCTGATTAATACAGCCATAGTGGTCAATTTCACAGTTCAGTGCGAGGTCATTATATATTATATGAGGATAATCGGGACCAGAATGCAGGAGAAGTCATCTGAACTAAGAACTATTATGAACGTATGCTAATATTCTCTTAATTATTTTTTGTATTATGGCCCTAGCAGAAGCTTAAGTGACAAAAAATTATAATGTATACAACTGTAGAATTAAGGACTGACCAGCACATGATACTGTCACTTGGGGAATAAATTATTGAAATTTTGTATTTTAGGCGAGAATTTTTATACCTTGTGTAGCTTACCCGCTGGCTGCCAATGATGATTTCAAATAAATATAAAATTTTATTTTTGGCAAATTAACACACCCGCCATCACGAAAAAATGGAAATTTCAGAAAAAAAAGTTTGTCTTTATTTTTATTATGCCTGCTACTGCCTTTAAATCGCCAAAAATAAGACATGAATATTTCTTCTTAATTATGGAAATTTAAAGCATTTAACTGTCCCATTACTACACTGTTTACATTCACCAATAACATTTTATTTTTATTTTTTGCTAAATAAGAGCAACATTTTTTTCCCTTTTTTTTTCAGCCCTCTTAAAAAGTCAAGTTCACGAAACAGGTATAAAAAAAGTCTCGCCTTAATAAGAATTTTTATATAGTCATTTGTTCTGTTTGTTGCACAGGATATTTTGAGAGTAAAGCAGTCTATATCAAGACTTAATGGACCAATCGCAAACATGACATCCCTGTCTATCTTCTACTTTAGTCTCCGCTTTATTATTGGTAAATTTGATTATATTGTCGTTAATCTCGCATTTTTCTGACATTTATTCATCCATTCATTCAGGTATTATTTATGGATGTCTTCATTCCATGCACTCCTTCATTCAATCAGTTGTCTAGACTGGTGGCAGCCACTATGTGCACGCTGAATCGGGGGGGTGGGGGGGGGGGTCCGCTTGGTCCCTGGTTCAATTCCCATCGCTGTTCTTGTGTTTCAGCTGCAGTTGGAGGGCTAAAATGCAAGTTTCTATTATAGCGCACCGTCTTTCGGATGAGACGTTTAAACAATTGGTCCCTGTGTGCAAAATGGCCCATGTGTATGTTAAAGAATGCAGTACACTCTTCGGAAAAGAGTAGGTGATTGTCTCTTGGTATACTGCCCAATTCACCACCAGAAGGACCCCATGGTAACATGTCTTAGGACTTTTGTGGGTTATTCTTGGTATGTAAACACACCGAAGGAATCCAAACCAATCTAATCCAATTCATATGTTATGCATGGATACATTCGCTTATATATGCATTTATTTTTGCATGCATTCATTAATTTATCCATTCCGAAACAGGTATAAAAAAAGTCTCGCCTTAATAAGAATTTTTATATAGTCATTTGTTCTGTTTGTTGCACAGGATATTTTGAGAGTAAAGCAGTCTATATCAAGACTTAATGGACCAATCGCAAACATGACATCCCTGTCTATCTTCTACTTTAGTCTCCGCTTTATTATTGGTAAATTTGATTATATTGTCGTTAATCTCGCATTTTTCTGACATTTATTCATCCATTCATTCAGGTATTATTTATGGATGTCTTCATTCCATGCACTCCTTCATTCAATCAGTTGTCTAGACTGGTGGCAGCCACTATGTGCACGCTGAATCGGGGGGGTGGGGGGGGGGATCGCTTGGTCCCTGATTCAATTCCCATCGCAGTTCTTGTGTTTCAGCTGCAGTTTGAGGGCTAAAATGCAAGTTTCTATTTATAGCGCACCGTCTTTCGGATGAGATGTTTAAACAATTGGTCCCTGTGTGAAAAATGGCCCATGTGTATGTTAAAGAATGCAGTACACTCTTCGGAAAAGAGTAGGTGATTGTCTCTTGGTATACTGGCTAATTCACCACCAGAAGGACCCCATGGCAGCATGTCTTAGGACTTTTGTGGGTTATTCCAAACCAATCTAATCCAATTCATATGTTATGCATGGATACATTCACTTATACGTGCATTTATTTTTGCATGCATTCATTAATTTATCCATTCTTTCCATGCATGCTGAACAATTGGCTGAGAGCTTAATATTTAATTAATTATATTCATATGATATGTAAATGATATTGCATGTCAAATTTGCCAATTCTTTTGATTTATGCTATATTTATAGGACTGTGCCTTCTGATCTTAAACGATGATCGTCGTCTAGTGGTCTGGTCTTACTGGTCAACATATTGCCTTATTTGGTTTGTTATCATGGTGTGTCCTCTCTTTCAAGTAAGTACAATACTGATATTTTTCATGTTGACATACTATAACATCAGGGTAACCCCCTACTTAGAAATCAATCATCTGAACTTTCTTGCCTCAGCTCTTGGGCTATCTCCAATCATCTTAAAATCAATGCAAACAAAACTTTCTCCGTGTGTTTTTGTCAAGAAAGCTGCCGACAGCTTGTGATAAACTTTTCTGTTTTCTTAGATAATTCCACTTTAGAAAACAGATCATCGGCTAAGGTCCTGGGTGTTATTCTTGACGACAAGCTTAAATTCCAAGACCATGTACAGTAATTCATGTTGTTGCCAAATCTCGAGCTGCTCTTGGAGCCCAGCATACCACCTTGTGTAGAGTATCTGTGAATACATGGCTACATAGAGAGAATGACACTGACCCAAGTACGGCTCATGTAATATTGTTTCTGGTTCTTAAACTTCATTGTTCTTTTGTCTGTCATATTTTTGACTTCTTGCGGAGGGGCGCCATGAGCATTTTCTTTAAACGGATACCAGCGCTTTAAAAGTTTTCATTATTATTATTATTATTATTATTATTAATCATTTAAGGCAGCCCGAGTTAATGCTACTTGTGATATGTACAAACAAGAAGGTCATGAGGTCAAAGTTTTTGGCTACCTGTCCAGCACCCAAGTTGAACTAGATTCATTTCTGCTGTTCATAACAAGTGCTAAACTAAAGGTAGGTGTAGATCTTAATAATAGTAAATAGTAATAATAATAATGATAATAACAACATAGGGATTTATAGTGTACCTGTTTCCAAAGGGTACAAGGCACTGGCAGTGTGTTATATTACCCCTGGTCATCGAATCCATAACCAAGTGCAGCCTCCTTCACTCCCTGGGGAGTATTCGTAGTCTTGCTTCCAATTTAATGCCAACATAGACTAATACATTCAATGCCACGTCGTCCTTCCAGGTACCCATTTATACTCCTGGGTGAAGGGTGACAAACGTAGGTAAAATGCCTTTCTCGAGGACACAAGCGAAATTCACTGCAAAGGTTCGATCCTCTGACCTTATGTTTGAGAGACCGAAACGCAACCGCTGTGCCAACCACTCCTACAGAATATATAAACAAATGTATTTATTTTAATTTCCAGTGAGACCAAGATACTAAAAACGGATAGAATGCTCTGAATATAAAAAAAAACTTTAGCACCGAAAAGCATGGTGGGAATACAAAAAATGGGACGGCGCCCGTATGTCAAGGTATATGAAACCTTATTAGTAACAGAGTTTCCATCATTAGCAGAAAGAGAAGCCAGGCCACGTACATTGGTATATGCGTAAAAGCTATGAGGTATATGAAGCGGATATGCAGAATTCTATCTTGTGTTCTTATTATCTTTGGTGAGACTCTGTTTTCACCGTGTTACAGATGAACTACCTAAATTTGTAGAAGTGGTTTCCCGCAGCAGGAACAGTTTGGTTTTCAATCCTTGAGGTCGGGGGTTCAATTTGTCACTGCGCATTTCGCTTGTGTCCCAAGAGCATAATTGGGTACCTGGAAGAATTAGAATGCCAAATGCACTGATTAGCTGTTGCATCATTTAGAATACTCCCCTCTCCCAGGGATCTGAGTTTTGGCTGCAGTAATATTAATAATAATAATAATGTGAAGAGTATAGAGGTCTTGGCATGATACATTATTATATATGTTTATAACACACCCAAATGGATTCCTGTCATTTGATTGGTAGATTTCATATCACGTGACATTGGTTATTTACCCCATTTTGTCACTCATCATGGAAATTTATTTCCATCCGTACATGTTCTTTCCATCTGTTTTTGCCCATTGCGCGGTGCCTAGGAAACGATAGAACTTCAACCTAATACAATCTTTTGATTGGTTAAAAAGACGCGAGACTTTTCCATTAGAAAAAGGATACATTTTTTCATGAACTACTAAATGACAAGAATCTCCATTCAGAGAAAAGGTAGATTTTTTTAATAAAATATCAAATGACAAGAATCTATTTTAGATGTGTTATAAAACAAATGATGGAAAGAATATTTCAAGATTGACTGTTCCATTCAACTCAGCTCCGCTTCGTTTAATAGTCAGTCTTTCAACTCTTGAAAATATTCTTCCCATTGTACTCATAAACATTTATTATTTGTATACTATAAAATTATTATTATTATTATAATTTTATTATTAAACTGATTGCCAGCCAATAGAAGCAAAGTACTTATAAATGGTTATCATTTCCTCTTTCGTTTTCATTTTAGGTGAAGCTATTTTGCATGCCAATAAAAAAGTCCTACATCTGTGGTGTGTTTATCATTGGTCTCTTAAGCCTGGCTATCCTGCTTCTAACAAAAGTTATCAAACCTGTGGATACTCTTTTTTTTTAGTTTAAATGTTGGCAATGTACGTCCTTGCTCGGGACATCCTCTACTTCACTACGGTACAGATGGGTACATTTGTGTAAGTTCGTCATAATTAAATTGCAGTGGCGGATTCAAGTGGGGCCCAGCCACTCCCTCCTCGCATCCTAAATTTTTCAAAATGATAACAAAAATTAGAGAAAAAAAGAAAATTATATTCAAGTTTAAGTCTGCTATTTCTGGCCATCTAGAGATGCCATAATCATAAATTTTCTTAGCTTAGCCCTAAATATGTTGGGGCTGAAGTGATATAGGCCTCCATCTGTGAAGCCCTTCACTGGGCACCCTCTATTTGGAATTGCTGGATCTGCCACTGAATTGATTATTATTTGTTTACTATTAGCTAGATTGGTTAAAAATAAATGATTTTAGACATTTGTAAAAGCACAAATAGATCTACAGTATCTCAGTCAGCATTATAAGTGTTTGATTGTACCTCAATAAACAATGAGCGGTCCATGAACACAAAATTCTAGTCCTTAGACGAGACTTTTCCATACCTTGTTTCGTGAATTTATTCTTTTAGAGAAAGGCGGAAAAAAAATAAAAATTAAAAAAAAGTTTTTTTATTTAGAAAATGGCAGATGGAGGAGAAAATTAAATGTTAATGGTGAATGTAAACAGTGAAATAATGGGATGGTTAAATGCAATAAATTTGTATAATTAGGAAGAAATATACATATCTTATTTTTGGAGATTTCAATGCAGCGGTGGGTGTAATAAAAATAAAGAAAATTTCGTTTTTTTCTGAATTTCCTTTTTTCGTGTGTCTAATTGGCCAAAATTAAAATTTTATGTTATTTGAAATAATTGCTATTGGTGGGAGGGGGCGGGTTGACTAAACAAGGTATAAGAAAAGTCTCGCCTTGGATAACACTATATCAGTCTGGTTATTTTTGCCCTTACTGTATGTTCTACTTTCTTTGTTATATATGTAAACTATTCATTTACCTTTGGGTCTTTCTATGAGTCTCTTTGTATTACTTGTAAATCTAACAGATGTTTCTTTATGCAAATGCAAAATGTGTTAATACCATTATGATCTTTTTTTTAATTGTGGTACCCCATTTCTTTAATAACTCTTAATTTGTTACTTTATAGTATAATTTAATAATATGTATTATTTACTCGAATGCATCCTCATCTGCCTTGAGCTATAAAAATGCATTATTGTAAAGAAATAGGCTTACTACATAAACGTTTGATAGAATTTGTTAATTAACTTAATGTTATGTTTTTGTTTGTTGTAGAAATTGAGATAGTTATGGTTTTTATATGTTTATAATATGTTTATAAAATTTTTATATTTATAATGGTGGCATTAGCATCCATCCTTTAATTGGGATATATATATTATATTAATCATTTAAAAAATATATTTTTGCTATTTGCTATATTATATATTTTTTACAATCAATTCATTTTTCAGATTAAAAGAGGTCAATTGTTTAAAAAATTTATGTTTAACATATTTTTATAATAATGTTTTGTACACTTACATTCAGTTTTCAGATAAAAGAAAACTATCATTTATGTAATATATACGATATTTTAATCTTGATGATTGTTAACTTTTCATTTAATTTTTATTACTAAAGAGTTGCAATCAATTTTTTTTATTGAATATAAATTTTTTTATGATATTATTTAAAAAATATTTTTGTATACATGGCTAAAGTATACTGGATATATCCAGACATCTTTCATGTTTCTGATATAGTTTTAAAGATGGGGGGGGGGGGGATGTGCAAAGTGCCAGGGATAGAAAGCTTGCTAAAATGAAAACCCAGAACCCAACGAACAATGGCAACAAGCCATGATATTTACCAGAGCCGAGTTGGGTTTTTGGTGCATCTTCTGCCAGACATTCTGTATCCTTCTACAGACCACCTCCACCTTTTTTCATGCAGCAAACATCTCTTGCAAAGTACTGTTAGAGGCCAATACTAACAAGCTCTAATTTCTAGAGATGTTAAAATTCCCCTCTTGAATTGTTCTTATTATATAGTTTTTGAAATATCCATAACTTGTTTTGATAAGCTTTTATTCTTAAACCAAATGATATATAATATATTCATAATAATAATAATTCATAATAAATGTTAATAATAAGATGCAATTATTTTATTTATATAATTATTATATTTATTTTGTTAAAAATTCAATGGAGTATTTAATGACTTTTTATATTTTTTTACAGTTGCTAGGTCAAAACATTAGTACAGTATTATTAGTATATTAGTTATAATTTTAATATTATAAAAATTAATTATGTATATATTTATAAGGTTTATCGTTGTCTACATGTAAATGTCTTCATACAATAATCACATTTATATATTTTGTGATTATAAATAATAATAATTTAATATTACAATCTCTCAATATTGAGATGAACATACTGCCATATGCAATTTAAAAAATAGGAAATCCCAAGGAAGAAATACATATATACTACAATAAATTGAGAAGAATAATTGAAAGAATTGTAATGTATCCCAGTGTTTATAGATCATTCTCAACAAACATTGTAGGTTTCAATATTTACTATGATTTATGCTCCAACCTAGTGATCAGAAAATCATTTTTTTTTCTGTAGTAGTAAACGAATGAAATGCAGAAGAGTAACCGTATTTCAGCATAGGCAGAAATAGTATCAATGGATACAAAATAACTCAGGGCTAAAACGACCAGGACCGAAACAATTCAAAACCAAACCGACCCTGGCCGAAACAACCCTACGCCTGGTCCAATTGGTGTTTTGTTCTACTGCATAGTTGATGGCAAAGGACAATGCATAAATAAGCGAAACACATATGTATGGCCTTGTTGTAATTAAACAGTAAATGAAGATTTGTTGAAGCCTACTGTAATATTAACTTAAAAATATAATGCAAACAATCGAGTTTAAGCCGACTCTATGATTGTACATTTTTGACCTTCAGCATTTTACTGTGGGCTTATTCTTGAACATTCTCTTTCATGGATGGTTTTAGGTTGATTAATAAAACAGTTGTGAAATACTGTACATCAGATTATGTATGACAATGCCCTATTGTACATTAATCGTCTCGATCCCCTGTGTAATTCACTGTTCCCTGGTGTAATATATTCTTACAGATACAATATATAAACAAAATTTTATGAATTTATAAATTTTTGGTGGTGATGATGCATGTTTATGACGTGATGATGACATGAAGATTATATGATGATGGATAACTCCAAAATTCGTATTTCACTTTTACTTTTTTGAGGACTATCAATTTAAAAAATGTCAAACTAGGGCCTTTGAGCATAAATTTTCAGAAATGAGCTGCTGTAGGAACCAGTTTAGCTGAGAACCGGGCCAACTGTATGATGGCGTGACAATTTTTACCAACACACAATCGGTGTGATGCAAACGAAGGATAACCGATTTAAAATGGCGAATCTGAAGACTTCATCGGGAGTTTTGGATGATTCGTAGATCTATCATTTGTATGAATAATGATTCAGCTTCACTTCAGATTAATTTTGTTCATCAAAAAAACAATTACTTTCTGAGAGTTCCAAAGTTAACGTCTACATTAAAAATGCACATAAAAAGGTTTAGAAAGAAAACATACACATGATGTAAAAAATCATAAACGGCGAGAAGGTTAATCACTTATCAAGACGTCTGAGAAACCTAATAGGCCTAAACGTATTGCACTTTTTAGATGTCTAATTGTTTTTACCCTTTGTCATTTTGTCATCTACCAAGTACAATACGGTTAGGCCTATTTATTAGGTTTCTCAGATGTAACATTAAACTGTCATTTTGACAATGATGGACTAAGGTGCACAAAACTAACATTTGTGTAGATGTAGAAAATTTATTAATTTTTCCTGCGAAATGAGTCTCATAAACGACAATACACCACAACATCGGTAAAATTAATGTTGAAATAACGAATATAATTTCAGTCTAATATATATATATATATATATATAGCCCAAGAAACCAGATGTTTGGTTTCGTTACATCGATGATATCTTCATGATCTGGACCCATGGTGAAGATAGTTTGGATACGTTCCTATTGAACATTAATTCGGCTCATCCCACAATCAAATTCACGCAAAATACTGGAAAACAACAATGCTGTGGGAAACAATGGCTGGATCTCAGTAGAGATACAAAAATGATAAGCAACAGCTAAAAAGTATATATATATATATATAATTTTTTTTTTCTGTGGGGGGGGGGACGATTTATCATTTTAATATCATTGCGTACAGTATCCTAAGTACTGTACTGAAATAGTCCATGTAAACTTTGCGTTTTATTTTGCTTCTGACGCATTGTGTGACGCATTGTAGACGTTGTTTACAAGTTCGACAGCTTGGGGTAATTTCATTGGCTAAGATTTTCTTGGCTTTTTTTTCGCAATTTTCGCTGCAAGTTAAGTAAGCGCGAGAGCATTACCATCTGAAGGGCGGCGGCGAAAATGACTTGTTGAGCGTCGTTTATTATACCTTGTTTTGTAAGTTGTACTCTGTATACTGTATATATTGTCATTATAATATAAAAATATCTTTTAGCTCTATGTAAATAGCAAAGAATAACAAAAAATAAGTAGGCCTAGACTTCGTATGTCTTAGTTAGACCAGGGAGATGTACATCTCCCTGGTTAGACCAGGGTCCCTGGCAGGGAGTTGTTTAATCAACTCCCTGTTTAGACCTAGCAACTCCCAGGGCTAGGATTCGAAGGATTCAGCGGGATGTGGAGTCAGTTAGTCAGTCACTGTCCTATTTATTTAGATAGGCCTAGACCTAGTTATTGGCATTCCCTTTCACATGACAAACATAACACATGATGCTTTACATAGGCTAGTCTCGTGAGGCTTAGGGAGTGGAGTGGAGTTGTTTTGGTCATGAGAAAAAAAAATCCTGTTACCGTGACATGAATTGAATCCAGAGCCCTGGTATTGGAAAGCAAGCATCTTAACCACCAAGCTGTTCAACTCCATTTTTACTTGCTAATAATAATACTAATAAAGGGCTGGGGTTACAGTGACTTGGCAGGTTTCCCTTGCATATTATTATTAAACTTCTTTCTTTATCTTCACATTGAAAACTACCGTCTGTTTTTAATTATAAATATCTGTAAATGACACATTTTATCACCTATTTTACACCTTGAATGAGAAAATTGTATACAAATATCTGAACGTCAATTTGAGCAAAATATTAAGACAAATTGCACAAAATCACCCACTAATTTCCTTTTCTTTTTCAGATTGTTTTTAGGAAGCTTTGAATGAAGTCTAACTAGACCAACACAGGCTGTAATTATATCTGACAATATCTCTATTTTAATCATAGCACTTCACTGATTTAATAATTTAAATGTCTTTATGTTCAAGTAAGTATAACAATAATCAAAGCATATTATTATATGTGTATGACACTATTTTTAGTCTTCAATACTACTCCCACTAGGTTCAGACGTACAGTAAAAACAAAAATTAATTAATTTGCATTAACATAACACGATCCATCCATATCCTTCTCAGACTCTAGCTGCTTGCACCACCACTTCCAACTTTAAACCTCAATGAACCTCACTAATTTATCCATCAGGCTACCTACCAATGAGCAACTGATTTTACATCTATTTTTCTGCCTAGGTACCAATTTTTGTTCAATAGATACGTGTGCAAAACCAATATTAGTATAAATCCCACACTGAAATAGAGCTTTATGGTCCCTATTTTTGTGGCTCTTTGTTAAATTTATGTTAACAATAATATCTGTAATAATGTTTATTAGATACAGTTTTTACATTTATGATGTATCATTTATGTATTAATATTATTTTTCAATATAAGATTAGGTACTGAATATGCTTAATGTTATATTTTTGCAGTGTGCTTTAAGGGGAGGGATTCCGATCCTGACCCAACTCAAGAACTAAAGACAGTCGCTGGCGATGTACCAGAAAGGAGAGATTTCATACATGAGGTTGAGAAAGCGATGAGCTTAAATAAAAAGGGTATGCTAGGTTGTCTCTCATCAGGGAGTGACCAAACAACTAGAGGAGGTAGACTAACATTAATTAGGGATTAGTAGGGGGATTTATATACTGTATATAAAGTAAAAAATTGTCTCCAAAATGGTAATTTCAAACACACGAATTACTAAAAATTTTCTTGGCTTATTTCAAATAGAATGTGCAATAAAATATTTGAATATGCCAAAGTATGTTCGTTACGTGCTGCTGCTCAGTACAGAGGCAGGAGTGTGCAAAAGTTTTTGAGGCAGTGTTCAGAAATTTAAAAATTGATTAAGTTAAATTAATTAGAGATTAAAATACATTATCTATAGGCCAATATTAATCAAATTTAAATTGATTTAACATTGAAAAAAAATACAAATTCCAAAATTCACAAATCGATCACTCGAGTCCTTATATACAAAAATAATTCAACAGACTGAGTCAAGATCTATCGTTTAACAAGCGAGTTGCATAGGTGGCAAGATTTAGCACAAATGACTTTCATGATTTCCTTTGGGTGGGAGCAGTCTAATTGCTGATCTATTAAAAACATAGTAATCATTTAGTGGGTGTGTAGGAACATCAATGATCAATTTAATTTTTTTTTAAATCCTTCCTTCATAGATAGCATTAATAGTTGGTAGGTCAGCACAAATAATTTTGCCTGCACGTTTCCTGATTTTTTCAATTGTTTTGTAAATGGAGGCTGCAATGCAGATTCTTTTCAGGGAAGATCTGCTCAGATTGACATCAATAATTAGCAAACGGCATCATCAATCATTCAGAGAGGAGTTGAATTTGTTGGCAGACAATTGGCCAACTTTTCAGTGTGTGCCCAGCCTAAATCTTTGGAAATTATAATGTTTTCCTACATCACTAATTTTTATATAGTTACTGTATGAGATAGGTTAGAAAAAGTATGTCAAGCTCTATGTAATAGTTTTATTGTTTTAAATTTCTTGATATATTATTATACAGATAGTAGTTATTGCGATCACATTTTATTTTGAAACTTGTATTTATGGTTATTTTGTTGAATATTACACATTATGAAGTGTTACAGGACTTTTATAAACGTACAGTATTTTGTCATCATAATCTGTTCTATAAGACTGCACGTCACATCATGGACATTACTTGCACTTAAAAGGGCCTGCAGTGGCAAAGCAGCATTTTGAGAATTCCTAATTGGATTTATGTACAGTTAACACTTTCCATTAAGTAATTAATTTAGAGATTGTGGTTTATGATAACAGATTGTATAATTATATCATTTTTTAACAAGTGATTTTTATCATTATTTCAAGGTGATGAACAAAATTTGAATTGCTCCGACATTTTCATTCTTCACTGCAATAACATGGAGGACAAAGCCCTTGCGAAAGAACTCAGCGATAAATTTCGCAGCATCGAATCGCATCTCTACGTTGTCCAACAGTCGGACTACAAAGCACTACGAACCAGACCGCGTATCACGCAAGGTGCAATTAACTTCTGTTCCCGCCTCATCGTCGTCTTATCAGATAAATACATACAGGAGGACTACGGCTTGCTGAGGAAAATGCTGACGCACAGCGGCAACCAGCAGATCAAACAGAAACTCATAGTGGTCCGCAGAGTTGAAAAGAAAAATGTACCAAACGAACTACGCGAGGATGTTTATCAGACAGTTGAATATAATGTAGAAACAGATAGTAAATTTTTCTGGTATAACAAAAGTTTCTTTCAGAGAGCAGTCCCGCCTTCATCTCAGATTCTATTCTATACTAATTAATTGATGTCATTCCATATAGTTGGATGGAGCTACTCGCATATATTGCCACCAAATATTTTACCGTTTAAAATATTCCACCCTTAATTTTAATGTCTTTTTATAATGTACCGGTAACTGTTGAAAAATGCATTTTATAAACTACTGTATAAGTATGTTGTATGTTTTTAATGCAGCTACTAATATTTTTTATTTTTTTTGGATTTTAATGTTCAAATTTTGTTTTCTGCTTGTTGTATGACCCCCAGTTAGGTTTTTAAATCTAGGTATAGGTGTCCAATTACCTTTTTCCAAATTTCAGTGTTATATTGTACATAGTCAATGAATTTTGTTTGCTCCTTTAGAACGTGTTTTAGCGAAAATGTAAATTACTGTATATGATAGTGTTATATTTTAAATAATCACTGTCACTTTTTAATAATTGTGGCTTGTTTTAGTGCACTGTTTGATATTTATTGCCTTGTATACCATAGCATATATAGAAGTCTTGAAATTGGGGGAAGGGAGCTTGATGGAGGGGTGAAGTGTGGGGCCCCCTCAATGATTAGGTTAGGGGAGGTAGCTTGCAAAAAAAGGTGATACCTGTATTTAAATACTTAAACGTTATCCCCGCATCCCCTAGATTTGCCACTGTCTGGGATAAATTAACACAAACCAGTTTTTATCAGTCCAGTACTCCCATCATTCCATCCTGTATTAGTGCAACATTCATCATAGAGGGCGGTATTTAAATTTAATTCCGGCCACTTTCAAAATGCTGTATGTATTAAGGGATTTTGATATTTAACAAATACAGTATATGGTGTAATATATTTTTAACATCATGATAACCTGAGGCTGAAATCATGAAGTTTTGTGTGTGTTAGATAAATCGTGTTTGCCGTACCATGTGAAATATTTCATACTTCAACCATGCTTTAACCAACGTTCTTTCTTTTAAAAATCCATGTTGAAATAGTTTTTATTAAAAAAAAGCTGCTATGGATAATACACAAAATGGTCCAATTTCAAACACAACCATTGACTTTCGTAGGTCAGATGCCATCTGCGAGGGTCTAGTGGCTTAAAAAAACGAATGGATTGTCATTAAAAACAATAGGTTGCGCGCACATCATTTTCTCCTAGAATCATGTTGGCCAATGACCCTCAGGCGTAGCGAGTGCCTTGCTTAACACATTTAAATTCTCAGCTTGGTAACTATGTATGAATTTATGACCATGTTATGTACGTAACATGCGATGTTACTAGTCTATTCATTGAAAGTGCAATAGAGTTAAGATGTGTAAATCACAGGCGTGTTCACTTTTAGTGCTTTCAGTACAGTACTGTAATATTATCTAGAATAAATTGTAACCACCATTACTCTAAATACTGAATTGTGTATTTATTTGGTTCTTATATTTCAAGAGAGGAAAAACATTGTATTACAGTATATAATAACACACCTAAATAGATCCTTGTCATTTGATTGATGTATTTTGGTTATTACACCATTTCATCACTCATCATGAAAACTTAGTTCCATTCGTTTTTTCCCATTGCCTACCTCAACCTAATACAGTACAATCTTTTTATTGGTAGTTCCATTCGGAGGAAAGGTAAGACTTAACTCGCTCTATATGCCAAGGATCAATTTTAGGTGTTTTATAAATCAAATACAGTAATGTATGTTTTTAATAGCACAATGCAAAGGATTTTTTTAAATTTCATTTAAAGATTGACTGTTCCATTTAACTTGGCTCGACTTTCAACTTATGAACATATTCTTCCCATTGCACTCATAAACATTCATTATTTGTATACTTTTTCCTGTAACACCCTCCATCTCCGAAAAAATGCATAATAAATTGATGATTGTCATTTTGAAATTTTCTGACCCTCTAGCATTAAGCCATCAGCACTTCTCCACTTCGGTTGGGACAAATGTTGGCAGTCTCGGGCAGCTGATAACCCTGGCTTAATTGCAGTTGCAAAGTGAAGATTTATCGAGAAACTGGACAGTTTTTAGCTGTTTTAAAACACATTATGGCAAAACTTTTTGTTTCAAAAAGTCGCAGCCAATGGAGTGTCTTGGGCTGTCTGAGAAGGCACAAAAGCTCACCTAATTCCTACCCCTGTTCATCCCTAATAAATTTTTTTTAAACTTTATTTACGACTACAGTCGCGAGTAATGAGGCTGCTAGATTTGTGCCTTGAAATGAAAAAAAAAATGGTTGATTTTGGGCTTCTTTATCTAGATTACTTGAATAAATTGTGGTCTTATTGGTACCTAAATGCACAGATGCTGGTATGCAGTGCACACTACACAACATCAAGCCAAACACACAGAAACATACTTCATTTGTGAGGTGTCATTTAATAGTATACAGTAATTCACAAAGCTGTTTATTTTTTTTTTCCTCAAGAATAGTGATTCTCTGTCAACAGTTCTTAGATTTCATATATAAATCCACAAGCTAGATCCTTGATGGGTACAGCATCTGCAAAGAGAACATATAAACAATAAATGTATACAGTACTGTAATAATGAAATATAAAGCTAAATTTTTCATGGGGAAATTCCTTGCTAATCCAGGTACCAGTTACCACCAGAAACTGGCAACCCTTAGTTCAACCCTTAAATACAAATATGTTAATCTATGAAACATATTGATGAATATGACATTTAACAATTCATAAACTCTACATACTGTACCAAATTTTAATTTTTTAACAATATCTAAATCGAACTGTTTCACATGCCAAATCGTTGTGTTTTTCATTAATTAACAATCTGTTTTATCTAAATCAAACAATTTTTAAATGGCATTTTGGATTCGACTTAGGCTCTTTCAACTGTAATCATAACTGAGAAAACCCTAGAACTAAAACTTACCACTCGAATACGTTTGCCTATGGCTTTGGCTGGGAGATTTCGTCTAAATTTAGCTCGGACTGCACCACTTTTGCCATGGGGCCTGGTAATCTTGCCCCAGATCACTCTAGTGTTGTTTGGTTTATCTGCACCAGGTGTCCTTGTCTTACTGTAAAATAAAAAAAAATAATTCGAACTCAACAGATTTTTTATAAAGTCTGTATGGACACATCAAAGAAATTCATCTGGATTTAATGTCAAATAATAGCCAATAGTTAAAGGTTTTTAAGCATTCACTACAAACATTTTTTCAAGTGTATAACAACACGAGTGAAACCCAATGCAAGCAATTCCAGCTCAGCATTATTGGTACTTGTTTAGTTAATGTTTAACCAAATAAGTAACAAAACAATAATTCAATGAATATTTGTTTATAAACACTTTTATTTGGCAACTTGGCACTATTCCTAACAATGACACATTTGATGGCCCACGCAAAACAAACTGTACCACTAATACTGAGGGATGCTACTGAATTTCAAAGTACAGTACACAGACAGAAAAAAGGTAGCTTACTTTTTTGCTTTGTAAACATATGCACACCTCTTGCCCATGTAGAATTCAGTTTCTCGGCGACCCTCCACACCCTCAATCTTCAAGAGGGCGGTATGTTCATACTGATTACGAAGACCTCGCTTGAAGCCAGTGAAGACGGCTCTTGTGTACAGCCTGTATATATGTGAACAAAAAATACTAGTTAGAAAAGCAGCAATGATTTATGAAATAATAATGTAGGTATTTTAGATGGCTATAATCTTTTAGGAAAGGAGATACAGTACTGTAAAGGTTACAGTACTTTTATAAAAAAAATCTTATTGTTGCACAATTTTAAGTAACCTTCAATTCCAGTATTGGTACACTATATTGTTTATTATATGGATTTTATGCGCTGGTCTCTGTTGGCAAAGTTTGTAATTGTACGGTATGCCAGTTCAAATTCTGTTTATATGGAGAATAAAGAACTATGACTAAATATATATTTTGATGTGATAATACACGCGAGTATGCAGTATATTCACAAATTACTTGCAAAAATATAAACAATTAGGTAATATTTGGTTGTTTAGTTGCCGGAACTAATGACTTCACTTGCCTTTTGGTTGCCACCATGTTTATTTCTCTGCTCTAGAGCCCTAGAATAAAAGTATAAACATTCAATTGATAATATTAGTAAAATAACTCTCTTTAAAAAACTGCACAACAGGCCGCCTCCAATTCCTTTCAATGGAATTTTGTTAAAGTATTTGGCATGAAATGAAATGACAGAAAATAATCAGGACATGAATCCTTTTTACAGTTTGACTACCATGTTTTGATAGTTGCTATAGAGTGCTTATGAATATGACATGAGTAAACACTAAAAGTGCGAGTAATTTGTACTGTCTGTATTAATTTATGTCCCTCCCAGTGGCGTTTAGGAATGGTTGGGCATCACAGTCTTGGTATGGAGGAACTGGTCTAGGCCTAGTTATTGAACTAGGGGCGCTGGGGCCCCGAGGGGAGCACTCGTGTTTCGATTGACTATTTAATTAAGACCATGTTTTAGTGTTTAGTTGGCCCTTTTGGTTTTGCAACTAGGCCTAGCTAGACTGTGAGCACTTAGTCTCATTGTTCTTGTATATTTTTCGGTCTAGCCCTAGGCTAGGACTATAATTACTATGGATGCCTAAATTATGAATGTAGGCCTAGGCCTAGCCTCTTTAGGATGAGGCCTAGCCTCTTTAGGATGGGCCTTGAGGCTTGGCTAGGCTACACCCAATTATCCGTTGATCCAATAAGACATTGGCCATTTTCTTATGACTTTTGCTGGCAAATTACAGTAATAATACATTTTTTAGTTAACATGAATGGAGCATCCAGTGTAGGGCTTGGGCTAGGAGAGTATGTATAGCCCTTGAGCAGGGCCCAGCTAGCTAGCCCTCTCTGAGTGAAGCAGACTTAAAAAATCCTTTGTAATCGACATAAATCCACAATTATTTAAACAATATAAACCCGGAATATAAGTATCAATTAAAATATAAGTGAGGTTAGGCTATATTTATTACAATTATATATACAGAACATCCACAATTTAACATAATATTCACTCTTTATTAAAATGTCACCATAAGACTTACGGAGATTCAATGGAAAAGGAATATGTTTGTTGTAATATATATGTTTACTCCACTGAACCTGACGGACGACGCATGTGGTGCAGTGGCTATAGTTAACTATTACTCTTTGTTTAAAACAATTATTTCGTTGAATTTCATTAATATAGTGTTCTACAATATTATTTAAAGTTAATAAATATGTATTTAAATATTATTTTCTTTTTATTTCTAAAATTTCAAAGCTTATTTTCATTTAATTTGATTCTTTTATTTGAAACTTTATGAAATAGACAGCGCCACGGAAACCAAAAAAGCAAAACAACAACATACACGTTCCCCACACGCGAAGCGGCCAGTCAGTGAAATGATGAACAGAGAATAAACTTATTTTGTGGTTCAAAATACTTTTTCACGTAAGACTTCCATTTAATTCGAATAATGTTTTAATACTATATGTTGTGTTTTATTAATAACATATACTTCAGGGGTTGTTTTTTTTTTTTTTTTTTTTTGCCTCGCTTAGCCTTAGTTAGGCTAGGCCTAGCTAGGCCTAGCCTAAGCCTACAGTAGGTCTAGCCTAGCCTAGATAGAGAGGAGTAGAGAGACTCGGGCTGGCCACTTCCCCCTGTTGTGGTCTGGTATATTGCTCCTGCGTATAGTACTAAGGGGTGCAGGTCAACTCGGCCACAAGTCAACACGGCCACAGTCAACTCGGCCACAAGTCAACTCGGCCACAAGTCAACTCGGCCACAAATCAACTCGGCCACAAAAGGTTCGGCTACAGCCAACTCGGCCACAAGTCAACTCGGCCACAAGTCAACTCGGCCACAAATCAACTCGGCCACAAGTCAACTCGGCCACAAGTTATATAATGTAAATTTGAGTATTTGCATCCTTTTTCTTCAATATATGATTGAAATAAAGTACACAGTATGTTTTAGTAAAACAGGACCACCACACTACCAAAAGAGATTTGAATGCTATTGCCTATGAATTAAAAAGAGTTATTTATTAATTTGTTCGTCTTCTGTTTACTCACAACATTCTACTTCAACAATAATATTAAACAACAATAACGACAATGAATTAGTAATATTTACATTAATAATACTAATTAATCATTATGACGATAATAAAGGTGACAACAACAACATTAATAGTAATATTTATTTTAACAAATAGTAATAATACTAGTATGGTAATAATAACGATATTTAAATATCAATTTTAATAACTAATTAGTGATAATAACGATATTGAAGGTGATAATTGCAATAATACAACAATAATAAATTAAAGATAATGTTTATTTTTATAATAATAGTAATACTAATTAGTAATAATAATAATAATGATACTTAGGCCTACTTAGTAATAATAGGGTAATAATATCGATAATAAAGGTGACAACAACAACAATAATATTAATAATAATAATAATA